ACTGACATTTAGTAATCACACCAAAAGCAGTGGACTGCACATTCGCCTCATTTCCTAGTTTAGGAAATACATTACTCTGCCGAGATTATGTTGGTGTAAATATTTAGCTTGAGGGTGACTGTGCTGATCACTGCATTCTTACAGCATCGAGCATTTCTGCATGGCAGAACAGAGGTCGACCACAACCTCGACCATAAAATTGTCTACCTCCAAAGTGGTTGCATTTTGTACACAATGAGTTGTGGTGAATGCCACTTGAACTCTTTTTGTGCAAAGCCGTTGTTTACATCGCCAAGTCGTTTGTATTCGTGTATTAATATTTAATTTGTTCACTAATCAATCCTAGACATACAGTTGCTCTCATAGGAAGATTAATGCTGAAACGCAGGAGCTGTTCTAACCCACTCTCTTTGCAAACAACAGAAGAATACTAGCCAAATTCCGAATGTTAACGAAGCGAATTGATGTTTAAATACATCTGGTGATAAGTGGCAGAGAAGCCATTGAGTGGTGATAGTCACCACTGAGATGCAAATGGCATTTTGTGGCTGCTAAAGTACCCTCTAACTAAAGAAATCGGAATAAAAATTTGTTGCCAGTGGAGAAAGTAGTTTCTCGCTAGAGGTGGGAGGGAACCTCAACGAATTCAAGAGAAATGAAGAAAGTGAAACTGCAGCCTCCATATGAATAAAGACATTTACTGTCTGAGCTTCGGTGATGCAAATGGAGTTCCACACACCTCGCTAGATTGAAGCTACTAACTTCTGGCTAGAAGTTGTCTCGATGACACAAGTGTGGGTACCTCTTGAGAATGCATAAAATGCTAAATGAAGAGGCTGGATGATCAACAAAACCTTTGAGGTGAAAAATGCTTAACACTGTGAGATCGACCCTGTTGTTCTTGGTAGATGGAAGCTTAAATGTCTAGGTTTTTCATTTTGACAGCTGGAGATAAGTAAGCACAAAAGAGTGTACCTCTGTGCCATCAGCGCTATTTGTTTCAAGCATAGCTGACACCACTCTGAGATTCAAAGGTATTTTTGTAGAAACGGTTTAAAATATTGTGGAAGTTGAATGCTTGTATAGACGTCCATTTGACCAAGAAGATGATTGTAAATTTCTCAGTATTTTCTAACAAAATTTAGAAACTAGATGCTAATCGTCACTAATTATATTTACCTTAAAATATCGTTCGCTGATTATTCAACAGACTCCTCTCGTCACAGCGTTGTTTCCCTCTTTTATGATTTTACGGATCAGGAAATTCCGCCACCTTTGCACGTGCATTTCCATTTCCCTCGAAATTGAGTTGGAATGCATGGTTAAAGAAATGTGTCCTTCAGTCATTGAAGCTTAGTCTTGAGGATATATCATCGAAAGAATCTAGTAAACGAAACGCTTTTCAAAATGGAATTTTCGTTGTCTTCTTGATAAGTTAGTTAACACAGCCCTGTATTAGAAAGAAATGAATGCAAGGAGGATTTTAAGATTTAAGTCTTTTGAAAAAAAGAAATCGGTCAGCTTTTTGTAGAAATTAATTCATAACCTGCTGAATTAATCTGCGAATATAATCCCAACGGGAGTCAACAGTAATGATCAAGGATTTACTCCTGATGTGTAAACCCTCGAGCAGGAGCACTGTACATAAGGAATAACGAAGGGATCCTTGAAAGCAATTTACATAAATTAGGGATTGCTTCAAAGGCGGAGTTCTGGTATGAGGACAAAGCGAAGTAGACAAGTAGCAAAGTAATTTAAGTGACCCTAGGATGCTGTTTGAAGGAATAATGGTCTTTAAATTGTCTTGTGCACAACAAATTTTTATAAGGACTAGATTAAAGGTAAATTACCTCTGAACGCTTTTATTGAAATAAAAATTGGATCTCTACTAAGAGAGACCTGACGGAGACACAGAAGTCTCCACTCGAAAGAAGAAATTGGCTCTGGTGAGGGCTGCACGGCATATGGACAGTGCAAGTTGTGCCTGCAGTAGTGCATTGAGCTTTTATCCAGTCGAGCACACAAGGAACGTTGGATGTCAATTGTGAGCGAAGGAGAGCACTGCAACACCGCTTGCAGCTTACCAATGAGGACACGACACTAAAATGCCTTGTGGCAAGCACTATGATTCAAGCCACCAACACACCTACCAGGATAGCCTCCTCGCCTCACCACTTCTACCACTGCAGTCACTGGCCTATTATCACTCTCCATTTTAGAGGCATTTCCCTCCCCAAATGAAATGCCTAACAAAAGACTAGATTAATTGTTAAGCAGCACATTGGCCTCTAAATTCCCTGTCGTTCAGTAACCACGATTCGAGCCTGTCTTTGATTGGTGTGTCAGCAATAGAGTTTGCTTTAAGTCGAAGCACTGAGGGTCACAAGTGGGACTAATGTGACAAATGCGATTAGCGGTTGAGGCAGTAGCGTCAACTCCAGATGGAATTACAAATAGTAAGTATCTGCAACTCGCTTGCGCATAAATACTTTCTAAATTTATTTCTTCTACCAGAACAAATAATTCACCGCCAAATTGTGGTAAACTTAGTATCTCACGTAATATTGACATCAGCTGAACCAAGTCACAGTGATTCTCACGTTTTCGCCAACTGTATTTCATTCTGGCACTCCGGTTATGATAGATGGGCAAATCTTGATAATGGGTGATGCCTACGCATCATTGGAAGCATTTTCCGATAGGCTTCCTACCCATGCGGGTGTGTTGACAAATCCTTTTGACTACACAGGGGGCATTTCGAACACCAGAAGACTGTCTATCAACTCATCCGCCTACTTTTATGACAGCGTGACTGCCTGCCTGCTAAACTCCATGTTTACTTGGTCACCTACCCCACTGGGATTTCACCACTTGAATGACTAATGGACAGTGGTACTTAAGTGGATATTTCGGCCCGACTTCAAATAAATGAGTGTTAATTCGCTCGTCGTAATGCTGATAAACAGCCTTTTTTACTCTACTGACAACTCGCTCTTCAATTCCTTTACTAAAAATCTTGCCGTGCGTCAAATGCTGAAGTCCTCTTTCTGGTAACTGGCAAATTTTGAACTCTGCTATTGCTCCTCCCACGGGCCATCTGGCCTTCAAGACATGCCCGCCCCTCCGCCCCTCTTTGCGTCACCATGATGTGTTCTGCCCAGGAATCGTGGCTTCTTGCATCTCCAGGGAAGAGTCGAGGTTCTATAACTCGCCCATTTAGTGACAGAGAAAATTGGTTGCTGACTGTGAAAGTGGGTGTAGCACATTCAATTTAGTATTTTCTAGCATTAACCACTGGTGGCTCAGCCTAACTACAATGGTTTTTTAAACACGAAAGCAATACTTAAAAGTAATAAACTTTATTAGAGCAAAAGGCAACCTCGAACAGTTTAACATCACGCAGATGCTGTAAATGGAGCAAGTTTACTTAATTAAAAGCGAAGGTCAGTGAATACATTAACTGGAGGATAGGAAAAAAGTGAGTAGTCATTTTCTTAATCGTGTTTTAAATTTCTTTTGCAATTTTAGCTTAATTTAAAAAATTCGAATTTTTGCGCCTCAATGGGAATCAAAGATTTTTCTTACTGTTTCCTTTTACAAAGCACGAACTAGTTTTAAAAGCTGCCTTTAATATAGATTTTGTTACAATCGGTAAAGTAACAGAAATGCCATTAATGCTTTCCCAAGTGCATTTTGAACATTGAATTGGGGAAGCATTAAAGGTTTAGTAGGATGAACACACCCTCTTCTTCATGAGAGCTAACAAATAATGTATAGTTACTACCCTCCATTTGGGGGAGCTCACTTACGCGGGGGATATCACAAAGGGATGCTAACTTCGTGTAGTAGACGCAAATAATGCTGCTTTTGTCAGATCAAAAGGTCTGGCCCATACACATAGGGTACAGACTAAATGCATTAACAGGTTAGGAGGCGTGCAACAACAAAAACAAAATGCCTTTTAAAAACAAAAAGTCCTTTGGCTTGATTAAGTTTGTTTTACTGTCAAAATGGATCAATGTTGCTATGGAAATGAGTGCCTTTATCATGCAAAACAAGCAACTTCACACATTTCCAAATAACGCACAATTTGTCAGGTAGACAAATGTTGGTTGACTTTGATAGTAGATGCGATTTGGAGAACCCATTTATTAGGGCTGGGAGGAGTTGCATCGAATAGTCAGTCATTTGTGACTGCAGACTGGAGGGGTGTTTCATCGTCACACCACAGTCACCAGTAATGGCAATACTGCATTCTTACAGCATCGAGCATTTCTGCATGGCAGAACAGAGGTCGACCACAACCTCGACCATAAAATTGTCTACCTCCAAAGTGGTTGCATTTTGTACACAATGAGTTGTGGTGAATGCCACTTGAACTCTTTTTGTGCAAAGCCGTTGTTTACATCGCCAAGTCGTTTGTATTCGTGTATTAATATTTAATTTGTTCACTAATCAATCCTAGACATACAGTTGCTCTCATAGGAAGATTAATGCTGAAACGCAGGAGCTGTTCTAACCCACTCTCTTTGCAAACAACAGAAGAATACTAGCCAAATTCCGAATGTTAACGAAGCGAATTGATGTTTAAATACATCTGGTGATAAGTGGCAGAGAAGCCATTGAGTGGTGATAGTCACCACTGAGATGCAAATGGCATTTTGTGGCTGCTAAAGTACCCTCTAACTAAAGAAATCGGAATAAAAATTTGTTGCCAGTGGAGAAAGTAGTTTCTCGCTAGAGGTGGGAGGGAACCTCAACGAATTCAAGAGAAATGAAGAAAGTGAAACTGCAGCCTCCATATGAATAAAGACATTTACTGTCTGAGCTTCGGTGATGCAAATGGAGTTCCACACACCTCGCTAGATTGAAGCTACTAACTTCTGGCTAGAAGTTGTCTCGATGACACAAGTGTGGGTACCTCTTGAGAATGCATAAAATGCTAAATGAAGAGGCTGGATGATCAACAAAACCTTTGAGGTGAAAAATGCTTAACACTGTGAGATCGACCCTGTTGTTCTTGGTAGATGGAAGCTTAAATGTCTAGGTTTTTCATTTTGACAGCTGGAGATAAGTAAGCACAAAAGAGTGTACCTCTGTGCCATCAGCGCTATTTGTTTCAAGCATAGCTGACACCACTCTGAGATTCAAAGGTATTTTTGTAGAAACGGTTTAAAATATTGTGGAAGTTGAATGCTTGTATAGACGTCCATTTGACCAAGAAGATGATTGTAAATTTCTCAGTATTTTCTAACAAAATTTAGAAACTAGATGCTAATCGTCACTAATTATATTTACCTTAAAATATCGTTCGCTGATTATTCAACAGACTCCTCTCGTCACAGCGTTGTTTCCCTCTTTTATGATTTTACGGATCAGGAAATTCCGCCACCTTTGCACGTGCATTTCCATTTCCCTCGAAATTGAGTTGGAATGCATGGTTAAAGAAATGTGTCCTTCAGTCATTGAAGCTTAGTCTTGAGGATATATCATCGAAAGAATCTAGTAAACGAAACGCTTTTCAAAATGGAATTTTCGTTGTCTTCTTGATAAGTTAGTTAACACAGCCCTGTATTAGAAAGAAATGAATGCAAGGAGGATTTTAAGATTTAAGTCTTTTGAAAAAAAGAAATCGGTCAGCTTTTTGTAGAAATTAATTCATAACCTGCTGAATTAATCTGCGAATATAATCCCAACGGGAGTCAACAGTAATGATCAAGGATTTACTCCTGATGTGTAAACCCTCGAGCAGGAGCACTGTACATAAGGAATAACGAAGGGATCCTTGAAAGCAATTTACATAAATTAGGGATTGCTTCAAAGGCGGAGTTCTGGTATGAGGACAAAGCGAAGTAGACAAGTAGCAAAGTAATTTAAGTGACCCTAGGATGCTGTTTGAAGGAATAATGGTCTTTAAATTGTCTTGTGCACAACAAATTTTTATAAGGACTAGATTAAAGGTAAATTACCTCTGAACGCTTTTATTGAAATAAAAATTGGATCTCTACTAAGAGAGACCTGACGGAGACACAGAAGTCTCCACTCGAAAGAAGAAATTGGCTCTGGTGAGGGCTGCACGGCATATGGACAGTGCAAGTTGTGCCTGCAGTAGTGCATTGAGCTTTTATCCAGTCGAGCACACAAGGAACGTTGGATGTCAATTGTGAGCGAAGGAGAGCACTGCAACACCGCTTGCAGCTTACCAATGAGGACACGACACTAAAATGCCTTGTGGCAAGCACTATGATTCAAGCCACCAACACACCTACCAGGATAGCCTCCTCGCCTCACCACTTCTACCACTGCAGTCACTGGCCTATTATCACTCTCCATTTTAGAGGCATTTCCCTCCCCAAATGAAATGCCTAACAAAAGACTAGATTAATTGTTAAGCAGCACATTGGCCTCTAAATTCCCTGTCGTTCAGTAACCACGATTCGAGCCTGTCTTTGATTGGTGTGTCAGCAATAGAGTTTGCTTTAAGTCGAAGCACTGAGGGTCACAAGTGGGACTAATGTGACAAATGCGATTAGCGGTTGAGGCAGTAGCGTCAACTCCAGATGGAATTACAAATAGTAAGTATCTGCAACTCGCTTGCGCATAAATACTTTCTAAATTTATTTCTTCTACCAGAACAAATAATTCACCGCCAAATTGTGGTAAACTTAGTATCTCACGTAATATTGACATCAGCTGAACCAAGTCACAGTGATTCTCACGTTTTCGCCAACTGTATTTCATTCTGGCACTCCGGTTATGATAGATGGGCAAATCTTGATAATGGGTGATGCCTACGCATCATTGGAAGCATTTTCCGATAGGCTTCCTACCCATGCGGGTGTGTTGACAAATCCTTTTGACTACACAGGGGGCATTTCGAACACCAGAAGACTGTCTATCAACTCATCCGCCTACTTTTATGACAGCGTGACTGCCTGCCTGCTAAACTCCATGTTTACTTGGTCACCTACCCCACTGGGATTTCACCACTTGAATGACTAATGGACAGTGGTACTTAAGTGGATATTTCGGCCCGACTTCAAATAAATGAGTGTTAATTCGCTCGTCGTAATGCTGATAAACAGCCTTTTTTACTCTACTGACAACTCGCTCTTCAATTCCTTTACTAAAAATCTTGCCGTGCGTCAAATGCTGAAGTCCTCTTTCTGGTAACTGGCAAATTTTGAACTCTGCTATTGCTCCTCCCACGGGCCATCTGGCCTTCAAGACATGCCCGCCCCTCCGCCCCTCTTTGCGTCACCATGATGTGTTCTGCCCAGGAATCGTGGCTTCTTGCATCTCCAGGGAAGAGTCGAGGTTCTATAACTCGCCCATTTAGTGACAGAGAAAATTGGTTGCTGACTGTGAAAGTGGGTGTAGCACATTCAATTTAGTATTTTCTAGCATTAACCACTGGTGGCTCAGCCTAACTACAATGGTTTTTTAAACACGAAAGCAATACTTAAAAGTAATAAACTTTATTAGAGCAAAAGGCAACCTCGAACAGTTTAACATCACGCAGATGCTGTAAATGGAGCAAGTTTACTTAATTAAAAGCGAAGGTCAGTGAATACATTAACTGGAGGATAGGAAAAAAGTGAGTAGTCATTTTCTTAATCGTG